ATTTCACTTCTTTTGGACTGATGAACTGCAACACCCACTGACTGCAATTAAAATGCAAAGCTTGGAAGATTAAAGACAATTTTTAATATAACTCCAATTGGATTCATCTGAAAGAAGAAAGTCATATACACCTAGGATGCCTTGAGGGTGAGTAAATAATGGGCTAATTTAAATTTTTGGGTGAACTATCCCTTTAAGATTTAGGCTTTGTATATCTTAATTCAACTTGTAGAGTTATTCACTGTTTATGTAATGTTGTTTTATTGTTTTTATTTGTACAGTATGATAACTGCAAATGTTTCAACAAGGATGTCATTATCAAGATGCATTTTGAAGCAGTTAATGATTTAAACGTTGGTTAAATTAAAAATTTATTAAACATACATACATAACATTTTACTCCTATGGAAACTGTAATGCTAGTTAAACGCCATAGAATTTGAGTCTGAAGTACATGTTGCTCAATCAGGACATAAAAAATACACACATCATAACATCATTCAGAGAAATAATGCTGAGAACATACGATACGGACTTTAAGACATGAGCTTTATTTCCAAGATGATGCCTGATGAGCTTTGAACTTCAATACAGTATAGATCAGTATTAACAGAGGCTTGTATTGTAATATTTATTCGAATCAATTTCTGATGCTAATACCAGATATTAATATTTCCTGCATAATTACTTGCATAAAGAAATATATTTTGTGTATATTTTGTCGCTTATCCTACCCGAAAAGACCATAAACATTGCAGACAACATCTTAAATAACAATTCATTTACATACACATATTTCAATCAATGCCTGATGTCAGTCAATGGTGCTCTCTGCTGGTCGGGAATAGTAAGATGGCTGCTCGAACACTTCCGGTGGCTTCACAGCCAAATGGCAATTTAGAGTGCAATGAGCAATCCAGTCATTAGATCAGATGACACTTATACTCTCAGAAGTGGCTCAAATGACATTTTTTTAATATAGATGTGGATGAATGTGTTGAGATATCAGATATCTGTGGTCCAAACTCAATCTGCAACAACATTGTTGGGAGTCACAATTGCTCGTGCATGATTGGATATAATGTAACAGACACAACCCTCCCTGTAAACAGCAATAACACATGCAAAGGAAGGATTGACAGCTGAAGCTCTGAACCGTTTGTTACTATTAGTACTGCTTGAATCTTCCTTCAAATGTAACCTTTCACTTTACCAATTATTTTATTTCAAATATTCATTAGTGTCTTGACTGAATTTGTGTGTTGTCTAATAATAGGTATAAAAGAATGTCTGTTCTGTCCATCTGTATGTTGTCCAAATTCCATCTGCATGAATGAAATGGAAAGTTACAATTGCTTATGTCTGGGGGTGGGGTGGAAATGGAAGCCACTTGTGCTATTATAATTGTAATTAAATAACTTTTTTTTTTAAATAATCCCTTATTTTAGTATTTTACTTTTTACATAGATATAGATGAATGTCTGTTCCGTCCATTTGTATGTGGTCCAGATTCCAACTGCACAAATGAAATTGGAAGTTATAATTGCTCATGTCTGGATGGATTCACTGCAACAAACTCAAGTCTCCTCATCAGCATCAATAACACATGTAGAGGTACTTTTTATATTTATATTTGTGTTTACTCTAAATTTATAACCTTGAATAATTAGCTAGAATTTACATTTTCAGTTTTCTTTGCTTATAAATTTTGTAAACAAGCCGTTCTTTTGTAAAGATGTCAAAGATTGAATTGACTGTCGTTTATGTATAAGTGACCCAAACTGTTCTTTTTCCCATAACTTCCTTTTAATATAGATGTGAATGAATGTGTTGAGATATCAGACATCTGTGGTCCAAACTCAATCTGCAACAACACTGTTGGGAGTCACAATTGTTCATGCATGAGTGGATATAATGTAACAGACCCAAACCTCCCTATAAACAGCAATAACACATGCAAAGGTATGATTGACAGCTGAAGCAATGAACAGTTTGTTACTATTTGTACTGCCTAAATCTTCCTTCAACTGTAACCTTTGAAGTTATAAATTATTTTATTTGAAATATTTATGAGTGTCTTGATTCACCATCAGTCTGTTGGCAGAACTCTCACTGTTACAATGAAAATGGAAGCCACTTGTGCTATTATAATTGTAATTAAATAACTTTTTTTTTTAAATAATCCCTTATTTTAGTATTTTACTTTTTACATAGATATAGATGAATGTCTGTTCCGTCCATTTGTATGTGGTCCAGATTCCAACTGCACAAATGAAATTGGAAGTTATAATTGTTCATGTCTGGATGGATTCACTGCAACAAACTCAAGTCTCTCCATCAGCATCAATAACACATGTACAGGTACTGGTGCCATTTGGACTTGTAAATTTAGGCCTAAAATACGATTTTTTTTATAGACCTATTTTTCTTTGGGAAAACAGTTTCAAAATTTTAGATTTTCTTGTCTTTTGTGCTAAAAAATGTTGATATTGTACTTTGTATTCTCCTTGTATAGATGTAGATGAATGTTGTGAGATTTGTCTTTCATGTTATGTTTTTACATATTTATATTTGTGTGTATTGAAAAATTAAAATGATTTTCCCCCCTAGATATAAATGAATGTCTGTTCAGTCCATCTGTATGTGGTCCAGATTCTAACTGCACAAATGAAATTGGAAGTTACAATTGCTCATGTCTGGATGGATTCACTGCAACAAACTCAAGTCTCACCATCAGCATCAATAACACATGTAGAGGTACTGGTGCAGTTTCAACATGAAATTTAGGCCTTAAATACCGTTTTTATAGACACATTTTTCTTTGTGCGAACAGTTTCAAAATAATGCCTTTTCTGTTTTTGTTGTTTATTTTGTTTTTGTGTGTGTGTGTGTGTGTGCGTGCGTGCATGCTTGTGCGTGCATGCTTGTGTGTGTGTGTGATTACATTTTTTATATTGTTTTTTTCTTTGGATATACATTTTGTAAACAAGACATTCTTTTGTAAATATGTCAAAGATTGAATTGACTATAGTTTATGTATGTGACCCAAACTGTTCTTTTTCCCATAACTTCCTTTTAATATAGATGTGAATGAATGTGCTGAGATATCAGACATCTGTGGTCCAAACTCAATCTGCAACAACACTATTGGGAGTTACAATTGTTCATGCATGAATGGATATAATGTAACAGACCCAAACCTCCCTATAAACAATAATAACCCATGCAAAGGTATGAAGCAATGAACAGTTTGTTACTATTTGTTCTGCGTGAATCACCCTTCAACTGTAATCTTTCAATTTATTAAATTAAAATTTATTTCAGATATTCATGAATGTCTTGACTCAGAATCAGTGTGTGGCCCTAACTCTCACTGTTACAATTACAACGGAAGCTTCTCATGCTTTTGTTGGGGTGGATATAATGTCTCAGATGGAAATAAAGCTATTAGTAAAGGCAACCCATGCACTGGTCAGTTTTTATTTATAAGATATTCTGCATTACAGTTTGCAAGTCATTTTCAACTTTTGGTTATTGCTTAATTTAGTCATTAATCATTACTCATTAATCTTTACCTTGGTGATTTTTAAAGATTCTCATTACAAATATAACATTTCAGGATCCAGATTATTATTATTACTACTATTATTGTAAATGTTGACATTTCAACTTAATTTATATACTCCTTGTATGGATGTATTTCATAACTTTAAGTAATTCCTTTTTCAAATATTTTTTTTCCCGTAGATATCGATGAATGCTTGTTCAGTCCATCTGTATGTGGTCCAGATTCCAACTGCACAAATGAAATGGGAAGTTACAATTGCTCATGTCTGGATGGATTTACTGCAACAAACTCAAGTCTCACCATCAGCATCAATAACACATGTACAGGTACATTATTTTTCAGATCTGTGTATACTCTCTTTTTTACATGGGTAGTTCTAGTCAGGGCCGCATTAAGACCTCAATGGGCCCCGGGGCTATGGCTTACTGCAGGGCCCCCTTCACAATAATGATATAGCTTAACATAGGATTTTTATCCAATCAAAATGTCATAGTTCTTGTTACCAATTCCAATATCTCAAAATAAAAAAAATAAAAATACTAGCCTGTGTAAAAACAACCTTACTGAAGACAAGTAAACAGTCATGAATTACAATAGAACAAAGAAATTGACCTACAAACACTTAAAGCACTGAATACGAAATATATTGTATAAAATAAATAGACTACAAAGACTGAATAGTCTTCACTGTGTAAATTCAATATACATTATTTTACAAAAGCGATTCAGTCAAGGAGAGTGAGTGGTATTCTTTCTAATGTTTAATTTACATTATTGACACAAATGGCAAGAGCAGCTATATTAGGCTGCTTTGGAGGAATTGTTCACCCAAAAATTTATATTGTTGTTGTTCTAAACCTGAATGAGTTTCATTCTGCTGTTGAATGCCATCGTATATATTTGGAACAATACTGGTAACCAAACAGTGTCTGTGCCCCCATGACTTCCATAGTATGGAGGAAAAAAAACACTATTGGAGTCAACAGGGAATGAGACGCCTCTGCCTCAGTGCACCATGGAGGAAACATGTAACTAGCCTTCTGAACTAGACTGGCCATCGATAGGGGCGTTGAGTGGGTCAACCGTGCAGAGAATCGGGCCTGCAGGAACTCCAGCACTGTACCAACTGGGCAGTAAACTGGGTCGAGCTGGCGGTCTCCGCACCAAGAAGTGAAAAGCTTCCACTTCAGGGCATACAGTTTCCTCGTAGAGGGAGCTCTGGATTGGAGAATGGTCTCAACAACCTCGGTTGAGAGACCGGAAGCTGCGAGTTGTGCCCCCTCAGGGTCCACACCCACGCTTCCACAGCTCCGGGCGGGGGTGACGATAGTACCCTCCGCCTGTGAGAGGAGATCCCTCCTGATGGGAATCTCCCGTGGAGAGCTGTCGAGAAGGGAAATCAGGTCCGAGAACCATACTCGGCCCTGCCAGAACGGGGCTACTAGCAGCAGACGGACCCTGGGAGCAGAGCGATCAGGGGAAAGGCATACAGACGAAGCCTCGGCCAAGTCTGTACCATGACATCCAATGGAGCTGGATGAGTCAGAGAAAACCAGAGGGGACAGTGCGATGTCTCCTGAGTTGCAAACAGGTCCACCTGAGCCTGGCCAAACTCTCCATATCTGCTTCACCACCTCGGGGTGAAGCCTCCATTCCCCGGGCCTCGGCCCCTGTCTCAACAGGATGTCGGCTCCCATATTGAGATGCCCAGGAATGTGAACTGCTCTCAGTGAGAGGAGTTTCCCCTGGGACCACACAAAGATCTGGTGCGCCAGCCTGTAAAGGGGGTGCGAACGCAGACCTCCCTGGTGGTTGCCGGTGCGCACCAACACATGGCGATCTCGTAGGTCCGGGAGGAAGTGTTCCAATGCTAGAAACACGGCCAGCATCTCCAGGCAGTTGATGTGCCACGTGAGATGGCGACTACTCCTCAGACCGCGGGTCGAGCGGCCACTCATGACCGCTCCCCAACCGGTGAGAGACGCGACTGTTGCTAGCGTTACGCGGCGACATGGAGCTCCCAGCACCGGGCCCTGAGACAAGAACCAAGGTTTCCTCCACATGTCTAAGGCACGTAGACATCACCACGTGACCTTGAGCATGCGGAGCAGGTTTCCCCTCTGGGAAAACCCTTAGTATTGAGCCACCACTGTAGGGGTCTCATGTACAGCAGGCCAAAAGGTATCACGTTGGACGCAGCTGCCATCAGACCCAGCAGTTTCTGGAACTGAGACTGATAGTGAGTGACCGGCCTTCTCTTACTCTTGCGACTGCAGTGAGGATCAACTCAAACCGAGCAGGAGACAGACGTGCCTGAATCGGGGTCGAATCCCACACCACGTCCAGATAAGTGGTTCTCTGTACTGGAGAAAGCACACTTTTCTTGGCATTAAGTCTTAACCCCAGCTCTTTCATGTGAGCGAGAACAACATCTCGATGCGGAACCACCATCTGCTCAGATTGAGCTAATATCAACCAATCGTCGATGTGGTTGAGTATGTTGGTGCCCTGGAGTCACAGAGGAGCCAGAGCAGCATTCACACACTTCGTGAAAGTGCGGGGTGAGAGTGCAAGGCCGAACAGAAGAATTGGGAGGAAGAAACCGCAGCACGGGCTTCCGGACCCTGAGAGAGAGCACTAGATCTAGGGAATGCGGGTGGAGATAGGGAGAGCCAGTCTCCAGCCCGTCCGACAGATCATGTGCGATCCCCGCAATCTCAATCGCTGCCATGCCTCAACAACAGCGGGACCGGAACCGCAAGATCACAGGCACGGACACACTCCTCAAAGCCAGCCCGGCGAGAGCAGAGCGTTTTGCAGCGGGAAAAGCACGATCAGCTCTCTTGAGAGCTGACTGCGTGAGCTCCGCTCCCCAGTAATGCTGCTCATTATAATATTAGATATAATATGTTTGTGCAACTGGTGCTTGTGCAACTGGCGAGCTCATCGAAACGCCCTCCACATCAACATCCTCGGAGGAAGACAAGCGGAGCGTCGAGCCTTCTCCCCGGGGGGAAGAAGCTGCAGCACGGGCTTCCGATCCCAGAGAGTGGGCACTGGATCTGGTGAGTGAGGAAGAAGATAGGGACTCGCCCACCTCCAATCCCTCCACCGGTTCCATATGCGAACCCCACGAGTGCAGCCGCCGTTCCGCCTCGGAAATATAGGTCGGACAAGGAGGAACACACAGCCTGAACGCTGCCTGCTCTCATCCAAATGCTTCTTTTTGGCTGAAGCTTGAAATAATGGAGCTTAAGTGGACAAACAACACTAAATAAGACTATAAACAAATAGCGACTGACACACACAGAGCACTTGCTGAATGACAAAAAGCTGACGCCGTTTCCACCGCACGTGCTTTTAAGCTTCCTGGTCGCTACGTCACCCAGCTCGTGACGTCTAGCCCATCCATTGGACTGATTACACACGTGATTCAGAGCGTGGTCACGCTGAAGGCGTTCCCATAGTGTTTTCCGATGCAGCTCGAGTTCCTGAAGGGGAACTGGATTACTCATGATGTCATAAAATGTCATGGGCGGGGGCATCTGGCTATATAAGCGGGCGCTCACCACAGGATTCTCAGGTTTACTTCGACTGAAGCGACGACTGAGTCGTGCAGCTACATAGCACGGCAAGCAACACAGTACTCGTTCCCGTATCTCAGGGAACCGAGGTTATGTTAGTAACCGAGTGCGTTCCCTTTCGATACTTCACTCGTACTGCGTCTTGCTTAAGACGCATATGGGAACACAGTACAATCACACCGTGCTAATGTAGTGGAACGACTAAAGGTATAAACTTCCATAAGCAACCAATGCTCATAGAGAAGTCAACAATAACCCAAGGCTAAGACGGGCTGAGCTTTCTAGGTCACACCCGGCCTGGTTAATTGTTCCAGAGTATTCCCATAACTTCGACACCCAGGGGTCGAGAGCTAACAGGTGAAACAATGACAGAGAACTTGGGCGTGATACGGCCAAGGGCTCTCTGCCATATCTGTTTACGCAGCGTGTGCCACTTCGAGCGGAAAGGACCCTGGCCTGCAAGGCTGAGACTTCCAGGTTATAAAACCTTGCGAATGTGGATGGCGAGGCCCAGCCGGCCGCCTCACAAATATCCACAATGGACACACCACTGGACCATGCCCATGACGAGGCGATGCCTCTAGTCGAGTGGGCCCGTACTCCAATGGGGCATTGCAGGCCCAAGGAAGAGTACGCTAGCGAGATGTAGTCTACTATCCATCTAGGGAGTCTTTGCTTCGTAACCGAAAGCCCTTTGGTGCGGTTACCGATGCTGACAAAGAGTTGTTCCGATCGCCTATAGGGAGCGGAACGCTCAATATAGATTCTCAAAGCTCTGACGGGGCAGAGCAGAGATAGCTTTCTGTCCTCTTCAGTTGGAGGAAGCGCAGAGAGCGTAATGACCTGTGCTCTGAACAGAGTGGAGAGCACTTAGGTATGTAACCGAGCCTTGGTTTCAGGACGACTTTAGAGTCGTTAGGCCCGAATTCCAGGCAGGCAGGGCCAATAGAAAGTGCCTGCAGGTCCCCTATTCGCTTTACTGATGCCAGTGCTAGAAGCAGAGCAGTCTTCAGCGATAGCAACCTAATGTTGGCAGACTGTAGCGGCTCGAAAGCGGGGCCCTTGAGGACCATCAGCACAGTGGGCAGGTCCCATGAAGGGACGGTAGGGGGACGAGGCGGATTCAGCCGCCTAGCAACCCTCAGGAAGCGGATGATCGAGCTATTTCTGCTCACCGATTTACCCTCAATAGGGGCATGAGAGGCTGCTATAGCCACCACATAGACTTTGAGCATGGATAGGCAACGTCCCTTATCCAGCAGTTCTTGTAGAAATGACAACACCACTGCCAATTCGGAAGTGAGGGTTTTTTTGCCGCGGCTTAGACACCAAGCGGAGAAAAAAGACCACTTTAAGGCATAGAGGTTTTTCTGCTCACCGATTTACCCTCAATAGGGGCATGAGAGGCTGCTATAGCCACCACATAGACTTTGAGCATGGATAGGCAACGTCCCTTATCCAGCAGTTCTTGTAGAAATGACAACACCTCTGCCAATTCGGAAGTGAGGGTTTTTTTGCCGCGGCTTAGACACCAAGCGGAGAAAAAAGACCACTTTAAGGCATAGAGGCATCTCATAGACGGAGCTCTAGCCTCCAAAATTGTGTTTAAGACTCGCTCTGGGAGGCATGAAGACTCCTGTCGAGCAACTAGAGGTGCAGGGCCCATAGGTCGGGCAGAGGATGCCATAATGCCCTGTTCGCTTGAGCGAGGAGATCCTGTCTCAGTGGAACAGGCCAAGGGA